TGAAAGCCACTGCCCCAGCAGCTTAAAAGTAATGGACAATGTTAAAGTTTTTGCGGACTGACAGACAGACGGACGGACAGAGCGAAACCTATATACCCCGAATCTTCGACTGCGGGGAATAAAAATGTCGATTTCACCTGTCCTGCATTAAGTTCATTGATTCCATCCGACCATCGTACTTAGTTCCTATTTCAATCGAGCTCGGTATTCACAATAAACAATCAAATATGTCTGCGCCCTGTCAGTGCTCATGACAAGGTGAAAAGTTAAGAGTTGCTGCTTTCATGGACGAAATACAAAAATTGAACAATGTTATTTGTAATAATTTGCGTAAGGAAACGTCAGTCATAAACAACAGTGAAAGAACAAGTTCGTAATTATGCCTATATCCGATTACGTTGCATCCTTGGGGGATAACCCGTATTTCGGTGCCGGATTTGGATTATTTGGAGTGGGGTTTGCTGCAACCTTGCTTAGGAAAGGAGCTCAATTTGGGTTTGTTTGGTTTCGAAGAAACTGTATGATTACATTGGAAATTCCTAACAGAGATAAAAGTTATCATTGGTTACTTAACTGGATTACGACGCACGGCACACGTACACATCATGTCAGTGTAGAGACCACATTCAAACAGACTGAAACTGGCCGAATTTACACAAAATTTGATCTCATTCCAAGCCCAGGAATTCATCTCTTCTGGTACAAAAACAACTGGATCCGTGTAGAGAGAACTGTTGAGAAGGGTGCAGTCTCACTACAGACTGGTAAACCATACGAAAGTGTTCTGTTAACGGCTTTGGGGATCAATAAAACCTTATTTCTGGATATATTAGAGGATGCCAGGACATTGGCCCTAGTGAGTGAAGAGGGCAAGACAGTGATGTATACACCCATGGGAGCAGACTGGGTTCCCTTTGGATATCCAAGGAGGAAAAGACCAATAGACTCAGTCATTCTGGATCAAGGGGTGTCTGAGAAACTTTTAACAGACATTAAAGAATTTATTGAAAATCCAAAGTGGTATTTTGATCGTGGTATTCCATACCGAAGAGGTTATCTCTTATATGGTCCCCCTGGGTGTGGGAAAAGTAGCTACATCACAGCACTGGCAGGTATTCCAACTATACAACCCTTCAATTCAAATTGTGAAGTAAATTTCTAAACTTCAAATGTCATCTTTTAAATTTTTTTTTATATCATTTTTATTAGGTCATCTTAAAAAAAAAAAGTTTGCCCTCTCCCAACCCACTATCTTCTTCTTTTATCCAAAGTCGGGAGAGGGCAGGCTGACACATTTCTTGACCTCACATCATGAAATATGGAAGCAGAGCAATTGCCATTCATAATACCATGACGTTCACTGAATTATGTTTATTTTTGAAATGACAGAAAATATTTCATCCAAATACAGCATATTGATTAAAAGATAATGTATTAATATGAACAGGACAGTTGGATTACAGTATATGCCTTATGAATCTGAATGACAGAGGGATGTCTGATGATCGTCTGAACCACCTACTGACCACTGCTCCAGAACAAAGTATCATATTACTGGAGGACATTGATGCTGCATTCCTCAACAGGGACTTGGCAAAGGAAAGTATGTGTTGCCATTGTCAGTAAAACTTTGGGTCTTGAATGGGACTTGGGAGTTACTCCCTAATATTGCTAAAGAGCACTTTCAATTTCTATGAATGTGTCAAGATAGTACTCACTTTCCTAAATGATTCTTTATCTTATAGAGATTTGTCATAAGTTGATAAAAGTGAAGTGAAATTTAATTTTTAAAATATTTTGATATTAAAGATGGCATTATTTAAATTTTCAGATCCTACCATGTATCAGGGAATGGGCCGTTTAACTCTCAGTGGACTTCTAAATGCCTTAGATGGTGTGGCCTCAGCTGAGGCTCGCATAATATTTATGACAACAAACTACATTGAAAGGTAATTAATACAGCTGTTAAAGTTACTTTTTTCCCTCCAGAAATTACATTTATCTCTGTTTTATGTTGCCAAGAATTCTAACATACTGAAAATACATGTCCTTTTGTTTGCAGACTTGATGCTGCTCTCATTCGACCAGGACGTGTAGACTTGAAGGAACTGATTGACTATGCCACAGATTACCAGTTAGAAAAAATGTACACAAGATTTTACCCTGAGGAGGGGGAGAAGGGAGGAAGAAAATTCAGTGCTCTTGTGAGACAACATAACAAGCCAGTGTCTGCGGCTCAGGTACAAGGACTCTTTCTGCAGTACAAGGATGACCCTAAAGGAACCCTGTCTAATATACAACGCCTCTGGTCGTCTTGACAGGGACTGTAATTTAATTAATATGTGTTGATTTTCAAAAATAAATTTTAATTTAGAATGCAGATTGAATATGTTTGTTTGTAAAAAAAAAAATATGCTTAAAAGCAAAATTGTTTTTTAATGAACTTTTTTAAAAACCAAAAATCAAATCTGTATCCTGAAACTGGCTTGACCAGATTTTCAAAGCCAAAAAAATCTTTAACCTTCAGAGGTTGCACTAAAAGTACAATATCTGAAAATGAAATTCAATATTATCAAAAGGAAATTAATACATCTCTTCCTGATCAAAAATTCTGTGCTAGCATTTTGTCCCTTAAAAAAAAACTGCATTATTATTTAATAAGATACCATTCTGTTCTTTACATGTACCCAAGTTTTGACATGATTGCAACATACTACCCAAATGTTCATAATTTGACATTTTGAAAATCACTACATGCTTCCAAGTGCACATAAGCTTTTCTGGCCCAGTGGTTCTTGAGAAGAAGATTTTCAAAGATTTTTCCTATATATTTCTATGTAAAAATTGGATTCCCTATTGCAGTCATGCCCTACCCCCAGGGGTCATGATTTGAACAATGGTAGTATATATACCCAAGGATGCTTTGCCACATAATTTCAGCTTTTCTGGCCCAGTGGTTCTTGAGAAGAAGATTTTCAAAGATTTTTCACATATATTTCTATGTAAAACTTTGATTCCCCATTGTGGCCCCGCCCTACCCCGACATGGTTTGTTTTACACAAAACTTCCACTTAAGTTTCAGCTTTTCTGGCCAAGTGGTTCATGAAGATTTTTAAAAATCTATATATTGATATGTAAAACTTTGATGACGTAGCACCCTACTTGATGTTTACATGCGTTGAAGAAATTAGAATCTACACTACACAAATGCTTCCAATATTTGCTATCTGGCCCAGTGTCTTTGAAAACATTGTGAAAATTTTTGCTATATATTTCTATGTAAAAATTTGATTGAAAGTTGTTAGGACTACCCCGGGGATCATGATTTGAACAATTTAGAATCTTTTTTTAGGATGGCTTCCACAAGTTTCGTGCTAGGCAAGTGGCTAGGGAGAAGATTTTTAAAGATTTTTTCTATATATTTCTATGTAAAACTTTACCCATTTTTACATTACCCTAGGTAGGCATACGTAGAATAAATTATAATATACTACAAAGCATTGTTCCACAAAGATGCCCAGTGGTTCTTATAACAACATTTTAACTATATACATGTAAAACTTTGATTCCCCACTGTTACCCCCGGGGTCATGATTTGAACAATTAAGGGGGGGGGGGGGGGGTACACTACCCAAGGATGCTTCCACAAATAGCTCTTCTGGCCCAGTTCCTTGATAAGAAATTTTTTAAGACCCCACTATTTTTTCTTTGACATCTTGCTTTTAACAATATTGCTACCCTTTATCTTTGTACCAAGTTTTTCAAAATTGGCAACAATTTTCGAGAAGAACGAAAATGTGAAAAGTTTACAGATTGAAAATAAAATCTGTGAGCGAAAAGGAGCCTTCGGCTCAGGTGAGCTAAAAAACTGCATTATTATTTAATAAGATACCTACATGTACCCAATGACATGATTGCTAAGATACTGTAAATCTGAATTTGTTGAAAATCCTACATCTTGACTTGTAATTAGACTTCGATCCACATCAAAGAGGAGCAATGGAATGATAAAGCATGTAGATTAAATAAGGTATGTGAAGAAGTAGAGAACCAAGTTATGGAGTACATGTTTAAAATCAATTTTTTAAAGAATTTATTATTTGTATACACATTGTATAAATTAAGAAAGAATTCTTAACATGATCTTTATACACTTGAATTATATTTATATCACTTACAGAAAATGAAAAACATAGTTAACCTAAGAGCTCACTTAAAGCAAATGTTTCTTCAAGTAATAGATAGGTTAAGCATTTGACGGTGTGTCTACTTGTACATGTAAACCTAGGCATGTTTTTACAAGTACACATTGCCAGCATTGTGTTAGGTTTATCAAACTGCATGTGTACTGGTACATGTAAAAGGTCATTTCAACAAGTTTTTTTTTGCAATCCATTGCATCAAATACATGTAGTTCCATGACTTTAATTCAAAAAGATACTTTTCGAATATACATGTACGTAATAAATTCTCAACTTCATCTAAACACAACCTAAAAAATATATATTCTATAATTTGAGTTTAAGAAGGAACAAATTCCCATCTCCTTGACTTATGAATCTAAACGTTGTGTCCAACTTGTAGAATTATGCAGTATACACAACTGATGATGTAAATCGCAGTTAAGTAGGGGAATTCCCTAGCTACATGAACACGTAGACATATAGGCTCATCTGCTTAAACTCTCTATTAAATGCAAAATCCTCAGTAAACTAATAATCTAATAATGTGCATCCCAAGATACAATTTCTATACAATTTTGAACCAGGAAAGGCTAGCTGTTACTTGGAAATGAACTTGTAAATAAAACTCTGATCATGTTAGGCATAGAATTACTAAATATTTGAAGGGAAGTCTGCTCCAAAACCTTTGATTTAGGATATCAGTGCTGACGGTATTGTACATAAGCTCCCTAACTACATTGAGATGAGCAATGAAAATCGAGAATAAACAAAATTGTCAAATCTGTCGCGTTATGCCAATAAGGAAAGTACACAATATCCACTGTTTAATAAAAAGTTTAATTTGTAATCAAATATAAAACATTTTTAACAATGACTGACAAGATGACAGTTTATACAAATACTCATTACTAAAACAAAGAAATAAAGGGAACACAGATGTGAAGATCTTGTAAAATAGTACAGCTAAACCAAGTCCGATTGGCACCACGGCTCAGTGAGCTTACAAGCTACAGCCTCAGGTACTACAGCTATTATATACTGCTTAGTAGTCCATTCAATGTTTGTAAATTGTAATGTATATTATGTCACATTCATACTATGACGGAATTCACACTAAAACTGAAATTTACAATGTTTACTTCTGCTCTCATCACTGAACTTTTGTAATTGAACACCGGCGATAACTAACCTATTTTTGCATTATTTTACACTGTATCTCAGCGAGGGGAAGTCTGAACACATGCATCAACCTTAGGAGCCTTACTTCTTTTAACTTTGCGTCGAGTGGAAGAAGGTTTTGATATACTGCCTGTGAATGAGAAAGTGTTGGAAGTCTCACTAAATACAATCTGATGAGATAATTGGATACAAGTTTGTAATTTTATGTATATGTAAATCATGATAATAAAACATCACTAACAAATGCCACAAACTACTTAACAATTCAAAATCAAAAATACATATACTGCATGTACAATAAAACTTATGAAAAACACAAGCTTAAAATAACAATGAAACAATTATCAAATATCATTTACAACCATATTTATCACTGAAAAATTTGCTCACAATTAAAACTATACATGTCATTTGTATCAGTAGGAATGCTATAAAATTTAGTCTAAAAAAAGGTTAACAATCCCAATCAAGACACAGAACACATCTGTAACCAGGATGTACCTTTAGCGGGAGATTTCACAGGACTTTTGACTGTCTGGACTTTTGTTGGACTTTTCCGAGGACTCGTTACTGCCTCACCATTGATCCCAGTGTGGACTCTCGGTGATGAGACCTTTGGTGTACCTCTACCCCTTGTTGTCTTGGGTGTGCCTTGTCGGGGCTTCGCAGAGAGCTTTGGAGTACTTTGACGAGAGCCTGCTGTGGCGTGTCCTTTTGGAGTCCCCCTGACTTTTTCCACTGCTGTTTTCTTGGGACTAGAAGCTTCTGCACCTAGTTCACTTTTTCTCTTGATGCCCTTCTAATAGAAAATAGAAATGCATTTGCTAAGAAATGTGCAGAATAGTGCTGAATTCTGAGTACTCCTTTTTTCATCTGCCATAAAATTAAGTCGCATACACTTTTCCATCGTATCTTGGTTCAATAAATATGTGAACTCCTAATACTGTTTTTTCATCTAAAAATCTTTTCAAATACCAAATGATTTTACTGGTAATTATTATATTTTCAAATGCAGCCAAATAACTGTACCTCTTAATACAATAAAAAAAAAGAGAATATTTCACAGTTAATCACACAGAGCTCTGGACAATAGTGCCTTGAGAGAAGGAAAATAACTAAATTATTTAAAAATGAGCTTTGGTATGTATCAAATACGACTGACTTATAAAGACTCCTTTAAATTTTTTATTGTTTATATTTTTTTTCATTTGTCACCAGATTCACAGGTGTGTAAAATTCAAGTTAATATATATCGGGTCTTAATAGTTAAGTTGTTAGAGCACTGGCACAGTACCCTAGAAGTCATGGGAGGGAGTTCAGTTCAGATTTGACTTTTCACCCCTCAGGGCTCCATAGTGATGGGTTTTTCATCATAACTAATACATGTAAGGAAATCCAGAAGGTTCAATCATTCAAATGTGTATTTCATGGCATGATCCTTGTGTAGCAATCTACATGTATGTGAGCAGATCAAAGGGTCTGATTTTAATGAGATTGTTCTTTTAATTAAACTACTTTTTTATAGTTTATACTGATGGCTGACATACATTGTTATCTCATTTGAAACACCTAATGCTGAGTTGTCCTTCTTGCTTGACAATGGAATATTTTAAATCCTCTAGTATACAATATAGAGTGACTATGTCACATGACTTAATTCATGAATTACCTTCAGTGGAGCACCAGCAATGGGCAGATTGAGCTTCCATTCATCCTTCACTCCTAATTTCTTCAATCCCTCATGAAACAATGCCCTGTACTTATTATAATCCGGTTTCTCTTCATAACCCAATTTTGACACTAACGTCAGAAACTTTGATATTTCATCTGAAACAGAAAAATATCTTAATACAAGTTTTATAATATTTTAAAAGTGTGTTTGAACACAATTTAATTCAATAGTTAAATTACCATGTACATACATGTATTTTTTATATCAACATTGAGAAACAGTATGGGCCCCATGGCCATAAAACTTACACGAACTCAATTTCAATCTCAGTCTCACTTCCCCCTATATACTCCTTTTCTATAAGTGAGATTGAGATCAAAAGTGAGCTTGTTTAAGTTTTATGGCACTGGAGCCGGATCTAAATGAGAGGTTATTAGCCACCAGGAAATAACACAAAAACTTGTTGGTCGATACCTTGCATTTCTCCCTTTCGGAAACAAGCTCTGGTCAGTGATGGAATGTCTTTCATATACCTACAAAAGTAATCTGATAATCAAAAAAAACCTCACACATGATCAATGATCTGAAAGATTCTGGTAGAAAGCAAGTAGCTCGATCGTACCCAAAACAGAACTTGACCTAGATATTCTTGTGATAAATCTGTATACAAAATATCATTTCAATATGTGTAACCTCTGCAAAGAAAATGAACTTAAACTGATGATGGACCGACAGACCGACCGAGCCACTAACTGACAGACAGCAGCAAAGCAATACTAGTATGCCCTCCCTTCTTCGAAAGGGGGGGGGGGGGGGGGGGCTAAAAATATACATTTGTTTCTGAAATATTCTTTTCCCGAATTGGACAAGTATGTCGACAGCTTTACTTGCCGGCATTGAGAATTTATTTGCCTTATGCAACTGTGACAACCCTTCATGTTGATTCCTGAACATCCAAAAACAAAATACTGATGTGAGTAAAATACAAAAATTTAACCTGCATTTTGTATTAAAAATAAGATTATTAGTACTTGATTTTGGAATTGGCTACGTAGTCTTTATCCAACAGGTTATCTTCCCAGGGCAGTTTGCCACAGAGCCACTGTAACATACAGAAGGCTAAAATCTCCATGTCTCCTCTACGGGAAGGAGCTGAAATAGAAGATAAAAGAGTAAGGATGCTTAATAAGGCTTTGAGTCATGTCTTATTCTGATTGTTAAGTTACACAATTATCTGTGAAAAATATGCAAACAACAAATCAGATATTTGAGGAGAAACATGCAGAAAAACAGGTAGGAAAATAATCTGGTAGTGTGCATCCCTATTTGTAACATAAAATGCAATTCTGGAAACTTATAAAAATAGTACCAAAATTCAACTCTTTCCTAATAACTCTCTTATACAGAATGACAGACATGACATTATGAGGTACATTAAAGAGGATAAATATTTGATAAAACAAATAAAAAACAATGAGCTCATCTGAGCTCAAAAGCTCAAAGCTCAAGTAAGTTCTGGCCTGATCACATTCTGTCTTGTGTTCATCTGTCTGTCTGCCAACTGTCTGTAAAATTTTCAAATCTTCAACAACTTCTTCTCAACAGCCACTAGGCAAATTTTGACCAAACTTTGGCCACAAAGCATCCTTGGGTGAAGGGAATTCAAGTTTATTCAAATGCAGGGGGTGACAAATCCCCTGCATGACGTCAGGGGCTAGTAAATTTTAAGGGATGGCAAATAAAATTTTATCTACCACTGCAAGTGACTTATCAAAAATAAAATCAATATGTAAGCCATAGATTTAAAGCAGGACATAGGGGCTTGCATGATCTACTCTGACAGTATTTGTCTTCTTCTTTTTTGAAATTTTATAAATACAGAATCAGTTTAGGGTAGGACAAACAAAAATTCAGGAAATGCAAATGAACTTTGACCATGTACTTGTCCTTGGACAAGTGCCTTAAAAATCTATTTGTCAGCCCCTGAAATGAAAGGCCACATCCTCTTTCTAGGGGAGACAAATTAAAAATTGTAAAAATTTTGGTGTCAACTTTTAAAATCTTCTCAGAACCATTGAGCCATAAAATCAAGAACTTGTGTGAAGCCTTGTAGATTCAAATTAATCCAAACCATGATCCCCAGGTAAAGGGTGGGGCAACAATGGGGGATAAAAATTTTACATAGAAATATATAAGAATAAACTATAAAACCTTCTTCTTAAGAACAACAAAGTCATGTTTAGTCATAATGTTATGAAAGCATCCAAATCAAATTTGTTCAAGTCATGATCCCTTTGGGAAGGGTGGGGCAACACTGGAGGATCAAACCTTTATATAAGAATCTATATTAAACATCTTTGAAAATCTTCTCAAGAACAACAAAGCCATGATTAGTCATATTGACACTGAAGCATCCCCATGTAGTGAAGATTTACATTTGTACAAATCATTCCCCCCATACGCAGGATAGGAGAACCATTTAAATTCATTTAAAGAACAGTAAATCTTTGGTCTGTCATATGAATATGGAAGCATTCTCAGATAGTTTAAGTTCAATTTCATTCAACTCATGACACCTGGGGACAGGGTGTGACAAGAAAATGGCCATCGAAGCTGAACATACAAGAAATCTACTGATGAAGAACAGATGGACCATATTGACTTACATGAGCTAAGTGGCCCTTGGGCCTCTTTTGTTTTCTTTTAACAAAATTTTTTTTATCAAAATACAATCAGCTGCAGCATTTTACTAATAGATTAATGGGAATTTCAAATAAGAAATTCTTCTAAAAGTTGAAATAACTTTGATAGAACTGGATTTTTATGAATTGTTGTGAAGGACCTACCAACTCCCTTGTGAGCATCTGTACTGGTGAATTCAATGGTTCCATCATGGGCCTTCCTGGGGTCCTCTTTATATGGTTTGTGGGAACCATCTGGGCTATACTTTAGAGCTAACCCATAGTCCACCAGATATACCTAATAACAAATGGGACATAATACATTATTTTATCTTTTATTTTTTACAACATTAGTCAAATCCAAAAAATGACATTTTACTCTTCTTTAAAATCATATCCTAATGATAATAACTATTCCTGAAATAAAAATAAAACATGAACAAGAGGCCCAGGGGCCACAGCGCTCACCTGAGCAGATCGGGCTTGAATTTACTCCCCACCCCTCCAGGCATTCATCATTTAAACAAACTAGAATCTACACTACCTGAGGATGATTCCATATAAATATCACTAATCATAGCTTTGAAGTACTTGAAAAGAAGATTTTAAAAGGTTTCCCTATATATCCCTATGTAACACTTGGGTCGGCCATTTTGGCCCCACCCTAGCCAAGGGGTTCATGATTTGAACAAACTTGAATCTACACTACCTGAGGATGATTCCACATGAGTTTCATCTTTCCTGGCCCTGTGGATCTTCAGAAGGATTTTTAAAGATATTTCCTATATATTACTATGTAAAACTTGGGTCACCCATTTTGGCCCCACCCTTGCCCCGGGGGTGATGATTTGCAAAAACTTGAATCTACACTACCTGAGGATGATTCCACATGAGTTTCATCTTTCCTGGCCCAGCGGTTCTGGAGAAGAAGATTTTTAAAGATTTTTCCTATATATTCCTATGTAAAATTTGGGTCGGCCATTTTGGCCCCACCCTTGCCCCGGGGGTGATGATTTGAACAAACTTTAATCTACACTACCTGAGGATGATTCCACATGAGTTTCATCTTTCCTGGCCCAGTAGTTCTGGAGAAGAAGATTTTTAAAGATTTTTCTTATATGTTCCTATGTAAAACTTGGGTCAGCCATTTTGGCCCCACCCTTGCCCCAGGGGTCATGATTTGAACAAACTTGAATGTACACTACCTGAGGATGATTCCACATGAGTTTCATCTTTCCTGGCCCAGTGGTTCTGGAGAAGATTTTTAAAGATTTTTCTTATATATTCCTATGTAAAACTTGGGTCAGCCATTTTGGCCCCACCCTTGCCCCAGGGGTCATGATTTGAACAAACTTGAATGTACACTACCTGAGGATGATTCCACATGAGTTTCATCTTTCCTGTCCTAGTGGTTCTTGAGAAGAAGATTTTTAAAAAATTTTCCTATATATTCCTATGTAAAACTAGGGTCGGCCATTTTGGCCCCACCCTTGCCCCGGGGGTCATGATTTGAACAAACCTGAATCTACACTACCTGAGGATGATTCCACATGAGTTTCATCTTTCCTGGCCCAGTGGTTCTGGAGAAGAAGATTTTTTAAAGATTTTTCCTATATATTCCTATGTAAAACTTGGGTCGGCCATTTTGGCCCCACCCTTGCCCCGGGGGTCATGATTTGAACAAACTTGAATCTACACTACCTGAGGATGCTTCCACATGAGTTTCATCTTTCCTGGCCCATCGGTTCTGGAGAAGAAGATTTTTTAAAAATGCCATTAATTTTTAACAAATTTATGATTATCTCCCCTTGGAAAAGGGCGTGGCCCTTCATTTGAACAAACTTGAATCCCCTTCACCCAAGGATACTTTGTACCAAGTTTGATTGAAATCGGCCCAGTGGTTCTCGAGAAGAAGATGAAAATGTGAAAAGTTTACGACAACAACGACAACAACAACGACGACAACGACAGACGACGGACAAATTTTGATCAGAAAAGCTCACTTGAGCTTTCGGCTCAGGTGAGCTAAAAAGTTGATCCTTAGAAATAAAATCTTTGAACCTTTACATCTACAAAGATAAATAGCAGAAACTTGATATTGAATAAAACATGTTTGAAAGTAAGAGGTTCAGAAATGTACTGAGCTTGGAGATAGTGTACTTTGAAAGTTTCCAATAAATCAACTATACATGTAGGTTAAAAAAAAATCAAGTTAAAAATAATTTTTCTATTAAATTGTTATAACCAAGATTTTCCGTAATATTGATGACAGTTATATGCTTTTCTTAGTTTATTCTGACAGCATAAAAGTGTAACTTTTAATTTAGTGCTTGAGTATCACCTTAAGGCTTAAAAAGGCTTAAAAGCATAACTTGCACTTATGCTTTCCACTATCCTAAAAGTATAAAATTGTCCATGAAATCTTGAGTTGAGTCAAACAGTAGGCAATCAGTATATTTGATGACATGAATCTGCATTTTGTACAAGTATGGTTTACAAATTAAGGACTTTGTGCTACCTGATCTGGCTGCTGCTGCTTGCTACTGAAGCCTAGAAGTATATTGGAGGCTTTAATGTCAGCATGGACATATCCATTCTCATGAAGATACTCCAGGGCATCCAACTGAAATATTATCAGCCTTAAAACATGTATACATGTATATATAAAAAATGCATGCAGAGAAAAATTTATTGATATCATTAAAATGGCCTCTATCACTACAAAAAATGCAAAGATTGTGATCCCAATTTATTGAATTGAAACATAATGCTCATACCATTCTTAATCCCAGAGCAAGAACTGTTTCCTTTGAGAACTGTTTCCCACAACCTTCAAATATTTTCTGCAAGTCTGTTCCAAAGCGAGGCATGATCATGAAACGATAGTTTTCTTTATCTCGCTGGTGCATCCCATGGGCAATGTACTTAGGCACTCCCAGGTACTTCAACTTCTTGCTTTTTACCCAGTTATCAACTAATGTGAAATTGAAATGAATAAGTATGTAAACTGCTTGATGAAATATTGAATGTGCTTGGTTTGTCTTTCATTTTCTTATCAAAAGCTTAAGTCCAATACAAATACTCAAGGTAAAATAAAATTTGCATATTCTTTTGAAGAGTCATTGAATGATTTGTGTGAAAAAAAAATTTAAGAAAAAAGCTTATGAGAAATTTTATCGTATGAATCTGGAATTAATAGTCTTATATGACAATATACAAACTCACTCATCTCTGGTCTTGATACTCGCTGGTAAAAATGAAGTTCACAGAACAAAGGACCATTAGAGTGAGGTTCCTGAAATTTAATTGGATGGAATTCAAATTTTTCCATTCAACTAAAATATTCAGAGAACAAAATACTGTTAGCTTCCTTATTTTTCACGACTACTTTATATCATCGCGAAAGGTTTCTTTAATGTCAAATTGCAAGATAATAATTCCCCAATGGAAGGTTAATCATGAGATTTTACATAGATTTCAGCACCAGAAAAATAAATGCGAGTAATTTTATTTCTTGAGTGGTGATTCTCGCGAAATTATGCAATAATTAATGCCAAGCGTATATTTAGGAATCTACAGTACTGCAACACTGAATACAACTACCTAAATTACTTTATAAAAAAGTACAGCTAGGTCAATTTAAAATGTATTTTACTAAACCATTTAAATTTATGTTTATGGAGACATTTTCTACTTACAATTTTTATAACATGTTCTGCTGTTGAAGTCATTGGAGAACCTAAGTCTTCTGATGCTGAAATGAAATCAAATTGTTGTCAGAGTATTTTGTGAATTTAATTGTTAACCACACACTATTACAATAAGTCATATAGCCATGCACACTAGTAAGCAGAATCTGATATAATGAAACGTCGTTATTATACAATGGTTTCAATAATTTTAACCTGAAATCATTGCATGTAAATGTATCCTCTCCCTGTGGTCTTTGAGATTTAGAACATTCTAGGTAAACTTTTACCCCCCCCTTTCCCCATCTTGATTTGGCTTGTCCCTTCATTCTAACAAAACTCAAAGATACTTTGTTTAAATTCACATGGAAATTCTGGAGAAGGTTAAAAAATGTTTTAAAAAATGCAAAAAACAAATTATAACAGAACAATGGACACACTTTGATAAGAAAATCTTATTTATCTTTGGGTCTAATGAGCTCTGTAAGTTTTTCACAATACAAATTTGATAGTTACCCAGATAAATAAGACCAAATCCTCCTTTGCCAACCTCATCCCCTAACTTCCACTGTTTCTTCCTGAGATCTTGCAGGACAGTGCCTCTGGTAAAAGGTGCAGGAAGTTTTGGTCCTTTTGGTGCCCTTGGTTTCCTAGCTTTAATACAATATAAAGATTTTTTATATCGAAATTTTAGAAGATCAATTTCTCAGAAAATACATTTTTTTCAATTTAACAAATGGAAGACATCCTTAATAGTTTACATTTCAATTTTGCTTTTAAAAAAAGATGTATAGCTAAAATACTGCATAAAACTTTTCTCCACTTTTACACATTAAAGGTATGTCTGCATCTTTTATTCTAAGAAGAAGGTACAGTTTCAATACAAATTCAGCCCTGTATTTTTCTAAAATATGAAAGTGACATATGAAATCAAAATTCATTCTTTCTGAATCATAGAAATTCTCTGCAGTAAGAATACACAACTGGTTTTTCTCATATGACGTCCTAAATGCTAATTGTGACGTCATTAACTTGTGCATTTTCACGTATTTTCTTAAAAAGTTGCAGAAGACCTCAATTTTTAGTGGAATTTTCTTTCAGAAAACATACTCTGCCACGTCGCCCGGAAAGATATCAAGACATGTGATTTTTCATAGCAGTTTACACAATATATCCAAAAATTAAAGTGGGCGACGGTGGCAGACACTATTTTCTAAAGAAAAATTAGCAGAGAAATGTGTCATTTTTAAGTCTTTCTGCATTAAACTTAGAAATTTACCACATTAATGACGTCATATTTCCAGTATGGTCCTCCTTCATGCCATATTTTTTGTTAAGTTATCATATTCATCTTCTCAACCATTGTTGAGGCCAATTTCATAACTATTTAAAATTTTTAGGGCACAATAAAGCTCAAACTGTACCTTCTTCTTTAATTTGAAATAAATAAATTCATATTTCTAAAACCAAAAAAGGGCTCATTTTTTTGTTGTTATTTTAGCAAAAAAAAAAAAAAAACACATACACACACACAATGGATGGAATTGATTTTTTTTGAGAGTTTTAGATTCTGTGAAAATTTTGTCTAAGATCATATTTAATTATAATAAGACTAAAATTACCAGGTGCTGCAGTTCCTGCTTTTCCCCTTGGCATGGTCTCTTGCTATTCCTAAAATATAAGAATATATCTTCATTTTATAATAGGGGAGTGTAAAATTACTAATATATCTGTACATTGCAGCATGAACCTCAGCAATTACATATCAAGATATAAATATCAAATAGCATCACTTTATGATCTTTTACTTAGTCTTTGAACCTGAAAGCATTTTAATTATTCTACTCAAATCTGTCAATAATAAACTAATCCTTCAATATATTTCAGCATTCAAATAGATATTGCAAAAAGATTTTCTTGCTATTTTAAAATAAACTAAATCTAGGTAAATAGAAAAAAAATGGTTACAAAAAACATTCCAGCAAAGAATGTCTTGAAGCCAATACACCTTGTAAATTCTGGGCATTGTTTTGGTCAAAATTCAAGGTAGGTAATGACCACAAAATAGCATGGACAACTTAACTTTACCAGTCCCTAGAAAAACGCACTAAAATGTAGTGTCACAGAAGGCGACTTCAGTAAAAATGAGATCGTGTGAGCAATCAAATAAAAAATCAAAAATACTTTTTTTTTGCCTTTTGAACCCAAAAATAAATTCTATGTATGATTAAAAATCTAGTTTAAAACTTTATTTTAAACAAAGTTTTTAACCTTGTTCTCTAATTATATTAATAAATATTATTTATTCATTTAAAGAATCCACCAAAAATAATTGTCAACGAAGCATGTGTAGCGCATGCTTAGTGAAATTTCTTTCGGACTCAGCCATTCTTCCATGTAAACAAACCAAGGAAATGCTATTGAAGCTGAATTATGATCTTGCAAAAATTACAGGAACAACTAAATTTCTTAATTTATCTAAAAGAACAAATCACTAACCAAGTACCCTTATCTTTTTGATGGTATGCGAGGACTAAGATGTTTAGAGAAAATCTCACAGGCAGATGCCACACTAACCCTAATCAGTCAAATAATGTGCAAGCTAGGACTAACCCTAATCTCTTGTATGGATGCGAGACTAACCTAATCAGTTGAATTCTTGTGCAAGGACTAACCCTAATCTCTCAGATGGGTGCTAGCTGCAGATCTGTAGCGTTATGGTTTTATATATTTGTCTTTGACCATAACGCTACAGATCCTGTAATGCAAAAAAGGTGCAATTTACGGCGCAATATTTTTTGCGCACTTTTGTGGAGAATTATAAAGGGTTGAGAGATGGATAAAATATACAGATTAGTTTAATGATATGCCTAGAATTAGGGAGTGAAAGGTAGTAAATTGACCGATGCTGGAAAGTGGAGACATTCTCCTCAAAAGTGCACAAAAAATATGGTCAAGTTATGGTTAAAGACAAATCTATAAAATCATAATGCTACAGATCTGCAGCTAAGTTGGGTGCAAGACTAACCCTTATCAGTTGAGTGAAGTAAAGTTTACGTCATAGTCCAATTAGTGCAAATATCTTGCAGATCTGGGGACCGGTAGAGTAAAGTTTACCAAATAAGACACAGATCGAGTCACCCCTCCTCAAAACACTTTGCCAGTGCATTTCCTCTGAAAGTTTACATGAGTGAAATTCGGGAAGGGGTTACTCCATGTAATTTGGCGTTGGATACTAAGTGTGTTATCATTATACTATTGGTAAAAATTCTATTAATACAGAAACAAGTGCCTGTGGCCAATGACCAGGATTTACAATATCGACTATAACTCATCCTGATTAACTTAGGTTTCATGATGTACAGACTAAACCATCAAAAAAAAAAGATATTACAAACAGACTCAAATACAATTTTATAAATACGTCACATCATAGCAAAAACTTAACATGGGTTATTTTTTTTTAAAATAAACTTTCGTTTCATTTTCTTAAATGGAAAAGAGCTGAAATAAGTCTATATTCTGCTGAAAATAATTTTCATTTTACACTAGATATCATACTCTGATGGTAGGGATTGATGTGCTCGAATTCAGACTATCAACATTTTATGCTACGTTGTAAATAACACCAAAATAAAGAACTTTATAGAGGGTTTCGTTCCAAAACACCGAACTCCGGAAGTTCAAAAACTTGCGCCAGTGGATTTTGTTAGATGATGTTTGATTGGTCAGTATTGGAAGTGAAATTTGAGACACCAATCAGATTCGTTTTCACAACTTTCATTTTGCACATGCGCACAAATCGGATATGAACAAGAGAAGCAGCTGACGACGAAAACGTTTGCAGATTAACTCGATAATAACACCAAAGTGCATGAAATGTAGATCAGCATGACAAATACAGGTTAAGTAAAATATGTCAGACTCAGAAAATAGTGCCACTGAAAACATTAGGGAAAATGAAGAACCCCAACAGCTGCCGGATGTTGTTGGAGTTGTGCCCTCCTCCTTTGAAGTTTCTGTTCAGGAAGTAAACAATCAAGATGTGCAAGATGAATCGGAAAATAGAGATTGTAATACAGACAACGTCAAGTCAGAAGAATCAACACCATGTCAGCTAAAACGAAATGTGAAATTCCCGGCAGATTCCTTGGTAAAAGGATACTTGGATCCGCCAGATCCATGGAGAAATGGTAAATCATGGTTGACTAATAATCTGTGCTTCTTTCTGAGTTAGCTTTACTTGACAAAAGTCATTAACCTTTCTTATGTGTAAAATGGTTAGTGATGGATAATCCGAAAAAAATTAATCAATTATCGGTTATAATCGGCAGTGCATGATTTATAAATAATCAGTTATAGTCGAAACTTTTAACTAAATGAAATAAATATAGAAAAGGTAAACTTATTCTCATTTCTATCAGACTTTTACAAAAAAGAACATTTAATTGCATAAAATATTTTTTAAATGTTTAATATGTCTTACTGTGTGACCGTCGGGGCGAGCGCAGGTATATACTAGGCCAGAATTAAAAATATCTTCGTTTCCCCTAATCTGACCCTAAATTCTCAAGTTGGGTCGGTAGGTAGGTAAACAAATTTTTTTCTGACAGCAGCTTTGAAAAAACATTCTAAAATTTAATGGAAAATTACCTTTATAAGGCCATAATAAATAAATTGCTAGATTCTCATCCAAATTTTTTTAAAAACCGAGGTGGGCGGGCGGCTTCTAGTTTATATTTTTTATTTCTTCAATTTTGCAGAATTTGTATTGACCTGGTCAATCGGGTAATTTTATCTACAATACCCGAATAAAAGTCATAGTTAAGGTTCAATTATCTCTTACTTCACATCATCACAGGGTTTAAACTTAACTGAAATTTCCATGAGCCATGTGGGCTCCTCAAATTTCAAATTTATAGGAGCCCACAGCTAGATTTGTTAGCCCACGGTCTCTGTCATTAAAAAAAAACCCTTTGTAGACACTAAGGTACATACAAATAATATACATGTATAATGCATTTGTTTAAAATTGGAGTTCTTGCTTTGAAAAAAATCAAATGTCATATACTTATTAAATATTTAATCAAAGGAAATAAAATTGAATTCAATCAACACTTTTACTATCTTTCTTTTTTTTTTTACATGGTAACTTGATATACGTAGCCCCCTTCATGTATCTCTCACCTGGTACCTGCATGTATTTGCTTAATTGTTCAACTGATGAAGGGACAATAACACTTAAATAATATTTTCTAGGTTAAATATTTTAACTACAACGTATCTGAAATAAGTGAAAACACTTACTATTCATGTAATCAGACATGATTTTTTTCAGCTTTAAAGCGGAAATCCGCTATCCGGATTTATTATTTCCGCTCTTATTTTTCAAATCAGCTTTTATAGTAATTCGGATTTTTTCCATAACTAATTTGACTTTTACTTTCTTCGAAACAGTTCCTTTATTTTTTATGTGAACGGCTTATTCATTGGTTGAGTAATAGCCTCCTTGTTGACTTTCTCAAATCAGGAGTCTGTTTATGTAACGATCGAGATCTGGACATGTGGTGTTTCTCATTGTAATTTATTTCTCCAAAAAAGAACTATAAGTAGAGATTTTCAAGTTTATTTTTTGTATTCAAAATTTAAACATCTAAAATTCAGTTCTCAGGGGGTTTTTAATGTTAAAATAATCAAACTTTCGGCCCCCTGGACCCCCTGATCAGGGGCGCTGCCCCTTGAAACCCCGCTGGGGGAGGACCCCCAGATCCCCGTTCAGCTTTTTTTCCTTTTCTTTGGAATCATGTCTGTGTAATTATGTAGTTGGGAGTTATTAAAATTGTTTATCTCTCACGTATCAACCATGTAGAGGAATGGAGGAAATTCGGATTAGCAAAAAAAGACGATCGTTTTAGAGATTTCACAAATTATGTAGTACTTAAAATGGAAAAGATGAAGGATATTTACGAACAATAGGATGATGCTACTGTGATTTATTTCATTTGTCTGTAGTTTTAAATCAAAAACCTGCGGAAAATGTCTGTTTTTCAGTAAGGGTATATTGGAAATGTATTCGGCCCCCTGCAGAATTTTGATTCGTGGGCAAGCAAGTTATAAATTTTATGAGCCCACACCAAAATTTACTCGCAATTTGCGAGTGGGCGAGCGTTAAGTTTAAACCCTGCATCACCAATCTTTTTTAACCAATGATGACCCTTATTTAAATATATACGTATGTATTATAGCAATTACTATCTTTTCAGCTGTCAAAATCATGTCGACTTTCGCGGGATTTAAAAACGAAAGTAGAATGGTAGATGAATACTGATTCCGATCAGAATAAAGACAAAGAAAAACAGAAATAAAAAAAATCGAGGCGGGGGTATAAAATCGGGGCGGGCGGGGATGAGAATCTAGGAATATTTTTATTATGGCCTAAATAAGAAAACCACAAAAGAAAACTATTTGTGAACAAAATGCTAAGTATCACACATATGCCATTTATTTAAAAAGCAAAATTCATGATTAATTAATTCACAACTGTTATTCAGTTGAACTTGTGAAATATCTCACACAAGAGTACAATTATATAAATCGAATAAAAAAGACAAGATTTTCAAATACACAAAGGCCGGAGATCCAAGTATATTTTTTTCAAACCTTCCATCAGCCTCCGGTGCTTATAGACAATCAATGTACTTTTTTGAGGGCCATGGGATTTGCAGTGGTTCTTGAGCATTTTGTTTTGGAGTTAAGAAGTGGCTAATTTTAAGTCGCAATTTCGAATCCCAATGAAGAACATTGAAGACGGCCCTACAAAAGGGACCATAAAAACTTATGTCCAGTGTCGCAGGAGATGCTGGCTCAAAAAAAAAACACCCACTGCTTAATGGCAAAAAAGTGATGAGTACGTATGTCTAAAGAAATGTTCAAATGTCGTCCCAACAAATCTCAAAGGGTTTAAAAGCAAAGAAACAACCAATCTTCAAGGGCCTAATTATAGGAAAATACACTGGAGACGTCTCAGGAAGCTGAATCATGATTTCAAAACTATTTGGAAAGAGAATGTAAAAAAATATTTAATTGAACCAAGCCAAATCTATAAATATACAATGTCGTAGTCACGAAGTTCAACCTGTAAATAAAGCCATAAAGAAAGGACATCTGAATTATATTTATCATGATGAATATGCAGACTGTAATATTGACAACAACTACTATGGTTCCAAAATGGCATATAGTAAAAATAGGAACATAGATGAACTGGTTATTAGATCAAAACTCAAATTAAATAAAATGCAGTGAAATTGAATGATGTGTTCACTAGGTGGGCCCCTCATCTGCTCATAAGAAGGGCCTTACCATGTATTACCTAAATTAAATTCAACAGAAAGGTTGGTTTGTTTGTTCTTTAATGTTCCTTTGGAAAGATTCACACACATGTTGATGCCAAGACACCTGAGCTGTAGTGACGAAATGACGTCAAATGAAAAGTCCTATTGACTTCGGATGCAAACAGTAGTTTAGCAAACAATACTTTTTTTTGGCATGGAGATTGCATAAAAATGATAAAATCATTATTTGCAAAATTTTCAAGTGAGTTGATGCTACACTTTAGCCACTATGTTGCTATGCACCGTAAAGGATTATTGGGAGTTTGGAATTTTTTCACGTGGACTCATAAATTTTTTTGAACAATGTACAGATTTCATCCTGAATTTCCTCAGTTCATACATGTTAGTCTATTGTGCTCGCTATAATGTAAGAGGCATTTTGCGCCGCCTCACAGCGTTTGCCATTAATTTTTCTTTTTTATAAACTGGAAATTATTATTTTGTTACTTTAAACAAAATCAATATATTGAACAGAATTGGAATTTATTTTTTCTAAATTCATTTTCGCCAAGCCAGGTATAAATATACAGTTATGAAAAATGTTACTGTTTAGTAGGATTTTCACTCAGTTTCTATCTATTCTTATAATTGCTTTTTTTTTGTTTGAGTTAAAGATTTAGTACAAAAATATTTACTTGTCCTCTTAATATCAATAGACAATAAAGATGCACCCTCGATAAAGTGATTGTATGTTCAAAATTTAATTGCCCTTTTTTTACAAATAGAGCTTTTAATTACAGCTGGCAAGTGGACAACAAATGATCTCATTGCTGCATATAAAAGAGGTTGTGAAAGTCATGGAGTTAAACCCCTTAATAAAGTTCTACAACAGCTTCAGGTTTGTATGTGCATTTAAAAGGGAAAACAAATAAATGCCAGTAAATTTTTGAAAAATGGGGAATCATAAATTACGTAATAAAGATACTCTTAGTCTGTTTAAGCAGCATAAAGATGTACATTGACAAACATTTGACTGTTTCAGGGTATTGAGTTTACAGATGGAAGGTTTGAAATTCTGAGTTTACGAGGAGAGCGGCTAGATATGAAGCAGGTAGAGAGTCTGGAGTCCATCCTTAAACTGCTGCAGTTTCGGTGTTTGGATTTAGAAGCTACACATCTTGATGATGAGGTATGGGAGTACATCTTTAAGAAGTTTGTCATCACATTATGAAAGAACCAAGTTTTTTCAATAGAGACACAATAGAGAATAATAACACATGTAGTTCAAGTTTGTGACAAGATTTTAGTGATTGATCCTCAGATGCAGTCTTCTTAATTTGCAATAATTTTTTAAAACTTCAATGAAAATTTGAGTGGTAATGTTATTGTTGGATTTAGCAGAAATTATCAAAGCTAGTATTTAAGGCTTGTGATTTTTTTACAACCAAACACATGCAGGTATTGTTGCATATGACGAATGATGTTTAAAATTCCTACATTTATGCCTTTTTTCTGATTTTGCAGACTGCAGTGGCATTATTTGACATGGTGGAGTACTATGAAAGTGCATGTAAAGTCAATATTGCATTCAATAAGAACATTTCAGCAAGAGGTTGGCAGGCCTGTGCTCGCATGATTAGAAAGGTATGGGGAAATTGGTAATTCAGGGTTTCAAATTGTCATTTGCCAGTACATGTACCAATTAAAAGTGAAAATGGTTGCATGCTGGATCTTTGCCTCTACATAATGATACTGCTATGTCCCTTGCCATCAGATTTATTGAACAGACATTTATTCTTGGAAACATATCTCTGGCTTATAATTACTCTTCTTACTTTGGATAATTAACTGATAATTTTCTGATTTTAAAGCCATGTGGGCTTAACCAACTGAGTTTAGTCTGAAATTGTGAATTTTGTCATTTTCAAGGCTATGTACTCTAATTCATGAAAGATGGTGGATATTTTTGTCCTTAACTTTCACACAAGTAACAGTTGCAGTAAAAGAAGTTTTAAATGAGAAATGATTGTGTTTAGCTTGTGTGTACATTTTCTGAGACATGACCTTTCCAAATTTTACCCTTGAAGTTTGATCTTGTTAAAAAATAATCATTGCTAATATGAAGAAGAGAAGATAAGATGCCTTATTTAGAGAATTGATCTTCCTGAGCAGTGTTTTCCCGAAGAACAAGCTACTGGCTAAATCGACCGATTCAGTTGACAAAATGACACTTCAAAATAAAAATTTATTTGTTGTTAGGTCCACACAGATTTGTTCAAAACCTGTTACAACTGATCTCTAACCCTTTACTGTGAAATAAAGGGAAAATACTGCCTCAGGATCAAGTTTATGAAAAATGCCCCACAAAATTTTAAAATTGGGGCAATTTTAAAACAAATTATTTTCTTTATAATTTCTTCAGGAAGGAATTTAAAAAGAAATAAATGATAAAACGGTTAAAGATTCCAATGTTGTCTAACAAATTCAATGTCAGTAAAAAAGTTCAAAAAATTTCGTAATTATCTCATAGATATATTTTGTCTAGAAAAGTTGTTAAGGCCAAGATCTAGTAAATGAAGTATGTCTTCAAATTTTTGAAATATGATAAATGATTGCTTTTAATGATCATTTACGAATATAGTTTTGGTAGAATAAGGTATTTTGGGATATGATTTTCTTGGAAAACTCAATAAAATAACTTGCCTTAAATTGCCAGTTTTAATTAAAATAGAAGGAAGCCTGAAATAAATATGGGATATTTTTGCATCTTAGACCAAAAAAAAGTATCAATTTTGGCTTAGTCTCTTAGAAAACAGTTTTTCATATCTTCCTGACCTCTTCCTTAAAATGATGTTAAGAAGGCTGAGGGTCAACAAATTAAAAATCTATATGGTAGTTGGTACAGATCAATATAGTGCCACAACCACCCAGCTCTCTGAAATTAAATATACCAGTTGGTATCCTAGCTTCTTTTGATATGATTTCAAACTGAATTCTGTGAAAATGCTGTATGTTGTACATACCAGTAAATCCATTAAGTCAATTATGATGTCAAAATAGATCTAGCTCCAAGAAAAAAAATACAATGAAAGATTCATTTATTACATTTTGACCCTAATTTTTGATATTAAAGAGGGATATTCATTTTTAAAAAGAATGATGAAAAACAGCAAGGCTAAATTGACTCATTTGAGCATTTTGAACCATTGGCCTCTTGTCTTTCTAGCAGTTTTTTTTTACAGACTGGAGAAAATAAACCGAATAGTATACAGTAAAATGATTAAATCTTTAAAAAACAATTCCAGTTTGACAGCTTGTAATAATTTTTTTCTGTTGTAGACACCTTGTTTAACATTTCTTGATGCCAGGAATTGTGATTTGAATGAGAGAGTTGTTCCAATAATGGGCCGGTCCCTCAGGATGGGATGTTTTCTGACAACTCTTCATTTAGAGAACACCTCTATTTCGGGGCGTTCTATGGTTATTTTAGGTATGTATATACAAATTCAGGAGTCCATTCTCCATGCATACATATAGCATCAGACAGTTTTGATTGACTGTAAATGCAGTGCATTCCCGTTTAAGGGTAAAATAACTCAAACAAAAATTAGATTCAGCGATTGATTAATATTTTTGATTGCGTTTTAATTTCCTCATTTACTCTGGCAAAACATTTCATAGATATTTGGTTTATTTTTGAGAAAGTTAGTGTGTTTTATCCTTTACTTACGAAGGATATTTTCATTTTAACTAATTACTTTATATTTCAAATTTACTCTTTGACCATGTTGACATTAAAATCTCCAAAACATGAATTTGCTAATGGACTCTTGATGAAGAAAATGATAAAAGCAGGTTATTTAATTTGTGGTTGTTGGTTCTTGCAAAATAATCGGATAATTAATTAATCATTTATATTTGGAACTCTACAGTAGATAAAATAGTTGTAGAATTTGTACATGTACAAGTATTTCTGAAATAACAATAACAAATAAATGCTTTTCCATTATGTTTGAAATTAGTAATTTATCATTACAGTGGCAGCACTAAAGATGAACGAGATTCTGACCGAGCTGTTCCTGGCAGATAACAAACTGATGCCAACTGACGGCATACAACTAGGAAACCTCCTCAAATACAATCATAAACTCCAACTCCTGGATGTCCGAAACAACAGTCTACAGGTGAATTTAGGGATTACGTTACTAAAAAGTTCATTGCTGAACTTGACTGAAACATATGAATTTTGTTCTGTCAAAGATCTTATTGTACTTGCAATGATGCTACATGTAATTGAAAGGTGACTAACAGTTTACCAGCAACACATCAGCTGTATCTTGCTGAAAGATATTATTTGCTGAAAAATTGTTTTATTTCACAGGACATAGGTGTTGGTCACATTTGTGATGGACTGTATGAACAGACCTTAGATACTGGACTACTGACCCTGGTCCTGTGGAGTAACCAGCTGACCTATCAGAGCATGTCAGCAATGGCTAAAGCATTAGTGAGTAGTGGTTTATATCAGTCTATCAAACATAAATCATTAGTATTAACCTTTATTTCAAAATATATTTCTTATGAACTATTGGTATGAACAGCAAAAATTATTTCAATTCATAAAAACATAAATGGCTTGGCATACAATTAAAAAAAAATCATTGTTTCTCTTTTATCACAATGAAGAAATGTGTGATTTATTTGACAGGACATAGGTGTTGGTCGTCGTAAACTTTTCACATTTTCATCTTCTTCTCAAGAACCACTGGGCCAATTTCAACCAAACTTGATGTGATGGACTGTATGAACAGAAAAATTAATTACCTTAGATACTGGACTACATGTGGAATCACCCTGGTCCTGTCAAGTAACCAGCCTGACCATAGGAATATCAGAGCATGTCAGCAATGGCTAAAGCATTAGTGAGTAGTGGTTTATATCAGTCTATCAAACATAAATCATTAGAATTAACCTTTATTTCAATATATATATTTCTCAAGAACCACTATGAACATGTGGAATATTGGTAGTGAACAGTTTGTATGAAAGTTTTACATAGGAATATATAGGAAAAATCTTTAAAAATCTTCTTCTCAAGTACCACTATGAAACTTTGGGATCATCCTCAGGTAGTGTATTCAAATTTGTTCAAATCATAAAAAGGGGCCATACAAAAAAAAATGGAAAAATCTCAAGAACCACTGGCATACAATTGGAAAAAAAAATCATCGGGGGTGTCAGAATTCAAAGTTTTACATAGGAACATATAGGAAACCTTTTAAAATCTTCTTTTCAAGTACTTCAAAGCCAGGCTTCGTTATAATGTGACAAGTTTGATTTACAATGAAGTTTATCATCTGATCTCAGTTATTATTTTAGCAGTGCATTAACCTGAAGTTTCTATGTGAATTGCAGGGTAGTACACAAAATTTAGAGACCTTGAACCTTGGACACAACAACATAACAAACGAGGGAATTCATCTGCTGAAGGAGGGTCTACTGGTCAGTAAATCTCTACTGAGACTCGGCCTTCAGGGGACAAAGATCTCCTGTGAGGGTAGGAAAGACTTCTCTCAAGTTTTAGAGATAGCAGTGCACAGCTCACATAAAAGCACAAAAAATTGAAATAAAAAAAATTATTGGCAAAGGAAAAGGTGTTATACCACAGGTGCATGTTGACAAATTTGAGGTTTTATCCTTAAAATCTGATAGCAAGTCCTCTATGGATATTTTGCATGTGATTTGTAATTATTTTGAACTTTAACTTTTTTTTTTATCGTACAGGTGCTGTAGCTTTGGCGGAGGTTGTTGCAGATAGTCCCCGCCTACTTCGCTTAGATTTGAGGGAAAATGATATCAAGACAGCAGGACTGATGGCATTATCCTTATCTCTCAAGGTCAACCAAACTGTGACACGGGTAGACCTGGACAGAGAAACAAAGAAGGAAGCGGTAGGTTGTCAGCCAAACTACATGTATTTATACTGAATAAAACCTTTGATGAGAAATGTTATTTTAGATGTATTTTAGACATCATTTGAATTTTATTTACACTGTTGTATATTCCAATCAGGTGGTAAGTGTTTGTGTTTTGGTTCTTAATGTTTTGAATGCTTGCCTGGTTAAATTTTTCTTAATGTTTTGGCTGTCGTTTTAAAATCAACAGAAAAAGAAAAAGGTATGGCACAGAGAGCATGGAAGCAGCTATGGCAATGTCTTTTTATTACTTGTTTATAATAAATGTACCTCTTAAGAATTTTTTTTGTTACTGTGGTTTCACCTCAGATCTGTTTTTTTTGGTCTTGATACCAATCAATGACTACACATAGAGGACTGGAGAATTTTGGGGAGGGATATATTCATTTTTAGCTTCATGGAATTTTGTTATCTAATCTGTATTCATGGTAATTCTACATAAGAGCAATACAGATTTAATCCTGTGAATGTATACTTAAAAGAGGGATATAATTACAAATAATTTAATTCTTTCTAGTCTCTCATTGGTTGATTTCTAAAAAGGAACGCAAATTATAATGTATAATCTGGTTTGGTATGGGGACACTCCCCCTTGACAACCAGCTGAATTATCCATCAATCCCCTCATTTGTCGGATTCATGGATTTAATAACCTTTAACTTCAAACACGATCTTACCTCATGTAAACAAGCATCATGCTGCTAGATCTATGTATCAGTTTTTACCTCCCCTTGCTTCCCATCACTTCCGTTACTACGGTTGTATTATTGCGCGGTAAATTTGAAC